CTCATTACTCTGGTTAACCAAGAGACTAGTATTATTAATTTTGTCTCTCTCCTCAGGATCTGCTCTGTCCTCTAATTAGGCTTTGCATAAGTGGCAATTCTGGGGCCTCTACTTGGGTCTTAGAGAACTTGGCTTATGACCTATTCTAGTCAGTGGAGTAAAGGCCAATGAATATTGCACAAAGTTTATGGATTTCCTGACACAATTCTGTGAAGATGCCCGTAACTTGCTAAGTGTAGGAGAGTCATCTGAGAAAGTCAGACTTGCAAGTTGTCAAAAAGAATACTGGCATGGATTTTAGATGAAGTGTCTAATAATTAACTTCTGGGTCTATAGGGAGTTTACTCTTCCAGATTTCAAAAACTATATATCTTGAGTCTAACTAGACATATAATGGAGTATCTTGTTCTGTTCTTTGTTAGTTTCAGCTAATTGTTAATTTCTGTCTCATTTGGACATGTAATATATATCAGTTACAAAGCTCATGGGTGAAGAATTTTAATACCAATACAGCAGTAAAAATCTAATTATGATTTTAAAACTATTATAACATTACTGAGTTCTCTGTGATTGCTATCTTGATAAGCCACATACATGTATTCATATTTTTTAACTTAGGTCAGAATTGTGGCTGTGGGTTATAATTCTGTTGTTCTATTTGAATTAACTTTTATCCACTTAAAATGTTGAAGATATTGACATGCATTCATATTTTTTCCATAGAGTCTAGAATCTACCATGGCAAGATTGAAGCAGTTTTGTGAGTTGCTTAGAACCCCAGAGTGAATTCAATTCTTAGAGTGTTTCGTAAACTACTTTTGCTATTCTACTTATTGATGACATAGTTGAATAAAAAAATTAAACTCAGATGAGACAGCGAGGAATAAGAAAGTTCTAGCAAGGGTCAGAAGGAGACTTTTGAAGGAGTGTTGCTTTCACTAAGTGTCCTGTTTATACTCAGCCAGAGCTACCAATACAACATACATATTTTAAAAAGGGAGCCTGCACACTTTTAATTTTTCATTTAGATAGCAAAATAGCAATCAGTTTTAGAAGCTTGTATGTTATTTTTTTTTCTTTTCTTTACATGGAAACAAGAGGGACACTTGAAAAAATGGAATGAACATAATACTTTAGATTCTTTTAGCAAAAATGTGCAAACTGCAAAAAGCATGTAAAGTTTAAACTGTAGGCATCAATATATCCTTTACCACTATTTTTTAAGACAAAAAAGTCTGGGCCTTCCAATGAATTTCCTTAGGTTCACTGATAAGGTCACTGTTTTCGAATTAGAAAACGTCCTGAGAGCGTTACTATTAAACACTTGGCACACGTTCTTTCTCTTTTTTTCCTTCTGCTTGATATTTGCTCCTATTTTTCATTCTCCGGGAATTTTCTCTCCTCTGCTTCCTGAGCTTTCATGGGGCCCTCTTTTCACATCACTCTACCCCCCCCCCTCCTTCCCTGGTTTAATTTCTCTAAACTCCTAAGACTCTGCGGCCACCTGGCCTGCTCTTGACCTCCTACCTGCAGACACCTGTTTTCAGGTACCACTTCATTTAGAGTTGCATGTGGAAGGAGGTCTGTGGTGACAAAACGATCCTTCTGGGCTGTGGAGGAGGAAAGTGTGCAGCCCGGCCTGTGAGGTGTGAAGGGGCTGAGACACAAGGACAGGCCTCAGAGTAGCGGGGTGGCCGCCAGCCAGGAGGAACTGGTTTGTCACAATTCCCCCAGAGCAAACTTTCACGCCACCCCCCCCCCCCCCCACCCTCTGACTGTACTGCACTTCAGTTTTCTTATGACCCAATAATGCTTTCGGCGATCTTTTTTTTTCTTTTCCCTGTCACAGTAGTTTTGTACAGGCTGCTGGTTTTTTACTCATGACTTTCTGGTTGAAGGAATAGTTCATCATTTTTTGATTAGTGTTAGAGAAAGGTGTAATTCTATATGTTAGTACCTTGCCTTTTTCAAAACTACCTTCTCCTCCCCCTCAAAAGCAACTACTTTTGATAGGGACTTTTTGTTTTGTTCTGTTTTGTTTTTATGATCAGATGAAGTACTCTTAATCCTTCAGTAAACTAGCTGTCACCTGTGTAGGTCTCTAAGCCCACGCTTCATTCTCTTCCCCTTAAGATTTCCGGGTCTGAACTCACTAGTAGTTTTGCATGGAAATGCTTACTGATGACCTCACCTGCCAAGATTGTGGCATGGAGCCTGGATATCCATCTGCCAGGACTCTGTGTCAGGCAGGAAATCCTGTGAAATTCTTGTCCAGGGTTAACCAAATGGGAGAAGCTTTGAACAATTTCTTCCTGACCAGTCTTCTCCCTTATTCAGATGTATGAAGGAGCCTTTTTAGCTATGAATTCTTGCTGATAGGCTGACCCAGGGTCAGGCTGTTAGGTAAAGCTAAGAACGTTCCATGATATGGGTGGATGAAATAGAACGTGGAGACTTGGTACAGAGACCTGGCATTAGAAGGAGTCTCACCTAACCGTAGAGATGGGGGCTGGGGTTGGCTCTCATACAAAGAAGGGGAAGAGGGCCCCCAACCCATATGATATCATGATTACGAGCGTCAGCCCTGGAGTTGGACAGGCATGGATGCAGATTCTGGCTTTGCTGCCTACTTAGCTGTGTGATCTTGGATACTTCGTCTCAGTTGTTATCCTCATCTGTGAAATGGGGATGAGAATAGTATCAACTTTCTAGAGTTTTTATGAGGATTCAGTGAGAAAACAGGTATAAAATGCTCAGCACATTTCCTGGCATACAGTAAATTTTCAGTAAGTGATTGCTCATTTTAATATTGCTTCAGGACTCCATTTTTATATTGCTTTCTAACTTTTCCAAAGATAACATTAAAGGCAGTAACATGTAGTTGTCTTGGTCTCCATGACAGTACAATGCAGAGAACTTTGCACAGCCGTCTTCACACTAAGGTATGTGTGACACCCCTGGACTTCATGAACACCTTGCCAGAGGGACAGGAATCGATCAGAGACTGCTGTTTTCCAGATCCTCAGCCTTCCGTTATTCTCCTTTCTAAAATAGAGACTGCATCTGCAGTTAAAGGGTCACTCCAGGTCTTTTTTCCAGCCTCCCCTTTCACAATTGCCCTTTGCCATTTTTAAAAAAATTATATTTATCTATTTCTAGAGAGAGGGGAAGGGAAGGAGAAAGAGAGGGAGAGAAACATCAATTGGTTGCCTGTCGCACGCCTCCAACCAGGGACCTGGCCTGAAACCCAGGCATGTAGGCACGTGCCATGATTGGGAATTGAACCAGTGACCTTTCTGACAATGCCCAACCCACTGAGTCACATCAGTCAGGACTGCTCTTTGCCATTTTACTAAAGAAAGGCATCATTTTGTCCATCCCAACTCTCACTATGGTGGGTTGCCCCAAGGAGTCAGACCACTGGGGCACAAAATAAAAGGGGGTCAATGTAAAATATTTTCAGTGAAGCCTTCTTTAATTAAGCCACCATAATACCCCCACCTTTCTAAGAGTCGCATTCTCAGGAACATTTTACTCTTAAGGCTCGCTGCACTAACATTGGAAGTAATTAATGTTTTGATCACAGGTTATGAATGATATTTGTGGTGGTTGTATAGTCCATGAGAATCTCTTATTCTCAAAGCTCAGTGTCACAGGGAATTTCAGAAAATTACATTTAAAAACATGTTTTTGCTTCAAAGTATATTGGCATTGCTAACAAGATACCCTAACACATAGAATTATGTTACATTAGGAAATTTTGGGGCAAAATTGTCATAGAAATGTGATTGTAAGGAGAAGGAAGAATAGTGTAAAACCTCCAACTGTCAAGGGAAGCTTACTTATTTTTAAATGGGTGATGGTGGGTATCAGATCATTATGGTTTTCACATTCCATTGGCTGCATTTAAAAGACCATAGTAGCACACATTTAAAATGTCTGGATTGACAATTAGCAGGAAAATACATCTTTAAAATTCTTTAACTTGGGATGAAAATCTGAGATGCGAACTTAAAAACAGGTCTAGGAAAACATGGTCTTAAAAAAAATCTGTGTATGATAGCAAGAATGTTGGAAGACCTTTCTACTTTATTGCTGTTAATATTGAACACAAGGCGAGAGCACTACCTCTCTTGCTGCCCTTCTTTCTCTTTTAAGGGCAGGGTTTAATTGGTTGGTATTTTACATGTGCCTTATCTTCTGCTCATTCAATCTTTGACTGAAAAACATGAATGTCTTTCACGTGCCAGACTGAGTGCCAGGTGAAGAGACACCAGGTCCTGCCTTCCTGGAGTTCATAGTTCAGCCCCTGGTGTGTGGCTCAGGGCTATGACAGGAACTGCAGCCATCAAGGAGAAATGTGTGGCAATTGAGATGGCCATTGCACCGACTCCACTGACAATACAACTGCGTCACTCCAAGTGTGGTGCTGATATTTCCGGCTCTTTGTAGGCACCGTTGCTTCTCCTAATCTGGTTAACGTCCTTATTTATCAAAACTAAATATGCTGAGAAGACTGCTGAAACTGGGACAGAAGGGACTTTGTTTTCTTCTTTGATTGGGTTTTCATAAAGAGAGTTGGTATGCCATGGACTCTTTATGGAAAATGGTGTTAAAATTACTTACTCATGTTGTGATCCTGCACAATAAACTCTCAGAGCTGTGGCTTCATTTCTTTATTATGAGATTTCTGCATTTGTGATTTGGGAGATTAATTCGATAAGTATTTTAAGAATATCCAGAACTAAGACTAGAACAGATTGACTCAACCTGATAGGACAGTGTTCTACACAGTGGTCAGTTCTTTAGTGTTGAACCATGCTCATTTATTAATGTGATTAGTATTATTTGAGGGGGGTAGGAGACCCCAAAATTAACGTACTGAATTCAACATTTTTCATAGATTTCTTTTAATTTCTTTTTTAATGGCATAGCATTATGCCTTACATGATAAAGAAATTTTTTTAAGTGAATAATCTTAAAACTATTTTTCCCCACAGGTGAAAAGAAACGGATTATCTCAGGCAGTTAGTCAGGAGGAGAGAAAGAGACAAGAGGTATGTTTTCTGCGAGCAGGTGCTCTAGAGCTCTGGAGTGTGCATGTGTTTCACCTACTATGTGCACTTATTCAAAAAAGCACTCATTTGATTCTCTTTACACACATATTCCTCTGCAGATGTATACAATGAATATGTGTGTAAAGAGAATCAAATGAGTGCTTTTTACAAAAGACATATGTGATCATTGCCAAATAAAAGTAAACATAAGCCCCTAGACAAGAAAAAATTTAAAACATCCCAATGTTTACTTAAACAGCAAAGCACCTGGTTCACGTATTCAAACTGGAAGAAATACGTTGAAAAAAATGAAACAGATATTCTATCCTAGAACTGAAAAAGGACATTATTGGTAAAACTGGTGAAATCTGAATAAAGTATATACATTTGTCTGCAGACAAATGCAATGTACCCTGGTTAGGTACTGTGCCCTGGTAGCTGACGCAGGGGGAAGGGAGCCACAGCAACTCTGAGCCCTCTTTGAGTCACTTTTCAATCTAAAAGTATATCAAAATGTACCTTTACTTAATAAAAAATGAAACATAACAGTAGGGTTTTGCAACTTCAAGTTTAAATAACTGTAGTTTAAGAAAGTTGCTCATTATGATAATATAGTGAAGTTCTTAAAGCATTTCCCTGTCATGTATATTATTATATATGTACACACACACATATATATATATACACATCTATATGTAATTTATACATATACACACATATAAATTAATTCCACAAACCTCATGAGGTATCCTTTTCTAATTTCATTGGCCTAGAATAGTACAAAAGTATGAGGGCACATTATAGTGCCATTTTTTTTAAGTTTAAATACAAAAAATAGTTTAACATTGATATACCCACCACTGAGAATTAGCAAATGTATTGCATTTATAATTTTTTCTTCATTTAAAAAATATTTATTTATTTATTTGGAGAAAGAGAGGGAGACAAACACCCATGTGCTGTGTGAGAGAAACGTCAATCGGCTGCCTCTCACACGCCTCCAGCTGGGGTCCTGGCCACAACCCAGGCAGGCGCACTGACCGGGAATTGAACTGGTGACCTTTTGGTTTGCAGGATGGTGCCCGACCCACTCAGCCACACCAGTCAGGGGTCTTCATATTTTTTAAAGTAAAGAAAACAAAACTTTCAATAAAGTCCTACATTCTCTTTCTCAGTCCCATTCCCTTTTTCTTAACCCCAGAGGGAACTACAGTTATGAATTAATATATATCTGTGCAATCTGTGTTTTTTTAAATCATGTATTACATATATTTATATACATATACCTATGTTTATGTGTTAAAATGTAGATACACGATACGATTCTGGACATATTTTTGGCTACTTTTTACATTTATCTTTGCATTTGAGATTTATCTATGTTAATGCATATTAATCTAGATCACACATTCAGATCACTATATAGCATTCCATTCTATAAATACCACCTTTTTAAAATCTGTTTTCCAGATGATGGACAGTAGGTGATGTGTTTTTGTTTTTGTTTTTGTTTTATTTTTTGTAAACATTGTGATATAAACAACATTTCTCTCTCCTTGTGGACAAATTTAGGAGCTTCTCCACATTCCTAATTCCATTTGAACATTTCTGCTCTTTTAAACTTTTTCTATTTGAAGCTATTCTATTTCCCTTATATTTTGAAAATGTTTATTCAGATTTGTGATTAAAAAAGTAATGAAAGCAGAAAATTTTACTTTATGATTCCTTTTTATTCTATATAGCTATTTTTAGCAAGTGTAACCTGATTTGCTTTTAAGCAGTTGATGGATTTTTAGCAATTATTACATTAAACCTATTATATTCAAGTACCACTTAATTAATCTTTTCCTATGATCTATTCTGTGTAGTTCATTATATCTTTCAGTTCAGATCTTAGTATTTTAGATTTGATTGTAAAAGCCTTTACTTTTGAAAATATTTTAAGTCGTTCCAAGCCTCCATATCCATCAATGACCTGAAATCCATTATTTTTAGCTAGGAAGTGACAATTTTTTTTAGTTTCCATTCCATTTCCCGCAGATAATTGTACTAATCAATAATTGTGTAGTAGAATTACACAAGATACAGGTTAAGTGAGACTCTGAGTGTTCTTACTCTTTGCTTTTTAGAATGCTATATCACTTAAATCCCTCAATACAGTCAGGCTAGACCAGCACATTTAAGTAAGACTTCCCTAAAAGCTTCTGGATGCTAGAAAGGGAGGTACAAATTGAGATTAGCACCACTGATCTGGCTTCCAAATAGGGCCCGCCCACCCGTAGGCAGGCATCCACCTGCCTTGCCTGCCCTGTTCCCACCCAGCCTTAGTAGCAGCACAGGAAGTTCTGGGAAGAATCTTCTGAGCCAAGTGCTTGCAAGGAGAAGCCCTGGAGGACAGGTGATGATGGCAGTGTTACCAGGAAGGGCTCCAGGAAAGATAGGAATCTTAGGCCTGCAAGGATGTTCACCACCCCTCCCTGAGGAGGAATTTTCCCCCTGTTGCCACTCTGTGGGGATCCGAAGTTGATTTTGTTAAGGAACAAGGTGAATTCCTTGCATGGGGCATTGGTGCTCATCCACCTGTATGAGTTGGCATTTCATCATTACTGAACACTTACCAGGAAAACCACTGTGTGCCTAACACCAAGAGTTTCTGCAGAGGTCCTTTGCTCCTTCTTGAGACACTGACAAGATCAGAGATGGTGACTCATTGAACAAACAGAATTACTTTCAATTTCTATGAGTTTATATGAAAGAATTCCCGTGGCTGATAAGAGCCTTTAGATGATAGGTCAGTCAAGCTCTGTTATTATACCCAGAATATTTGCTGTTATTGACTGCAGATTATTCAGATGAAAACCTAGGGAATGGACTTACAGAGATGGAATGAAGGAATGAATTGGTGAGACATTTTCTTGGAATCCTGAAATGATACCTGTAAATCCTTACTGTCCCAGAGAAGCATGCTTTGAAAGCAGGGCTGGAGGAGATGACCCCAAAGATTAATTAATGTCACTCTGGGATTATATCCCATGCCCTAGCTGTCTAACGTAGACCCTACCACTTGGCAAAGTATAACCTCAGGATGCAATCTCAAGTCACGCAAATGGTTTCATTTTTTTTTATATTTACACCAAGGTCACTGACTTCATATAAAGATAATAGTTTGGTGATGTAGTTTTCTTAATGCTTATCTTTTTGTACTTTTCAAGGTATTATATCATCCTTATAGAAAAATTATGGGAGCTATATTTAGTTCTTCAATTAATAGAATTAATAATACATTGATCTTTCCTCCCTACCAGGCTATCTTTGAAGTTATATCTTCAGAACATTCATATTTACTCAGCTTGGAGATCTTGATAAGAATGTTTAAAAATTCTAAAGAACTGAGTGATACAATGACCAAAACAGAGAGTCACCATCTTTTCTCCAATATTACAGACGTCTGTGAGGCAAGCAAAAAGTAAGTGCCCTTTCGTTTGCCTTTGGTCATGCGAAGACATTATTTATTTCCTAACAAACACCTGTGTTATCTCAAAAGCCATCAAGAGGCATGAAATCTCTCATTTACTCACAATCAGACCAATACAAATGCAAAAATTATTTTTGTTTACATTTTCATATTCTTGTCTTTGTTCATGTATTGTTATCTTTTCATGTAAATATTAGAAATGCAGTTATAGCGACTATCGTGATTTCTATAGGGTTTCCATATTTACGTTTTCCTAAGAACTGTCAGAGGAGTTTTCATGATCATTTTCAGTGAGGGCAGGAACTCTGTATACCAGTGGTGAGCTTTTAGGTGAGCCTGTACTGCAGCCGTGTGCCAGAAGTGTGCTAAAGTGAACACTTTATAAACCATATGAAGTTGCTGTTTGGGGAGGTCAAAATGAATTGAGTATTGGTGGTTTTATGTGGGTGGGTCACAAGTGGGTTTACTACAGAACTAATAGAGCTTAAGCTTCAAAGCTTTGTACTTATAAAGGCACCTTTTAAATATTTGCCTTGTGCTTGATTTTTTCACAAATAGAGGGCCTACAAATTGTACACTTCTGTGTGCACAAAGACTGGCTCTGTCCCTGGTGAGAGCATTCCTTACGAACCTGGAGGTTGCTCTTTTGTCACTTTGGGGCGGAGCCAAGTGGACAGTAATGATACTGTGTCCATGTATGTCTTCTGGCTCCGTCAATGTGTGCAGGTGTGTTTTTCTTTGGAGCTGCAAGATTGAACATCCATGCTGTACAAATTAGCATGGGAGTTGAGGCTACCTCAGAGGGATGGAATTAGTGGTCAGATCACTGAGATCTTCAAATATTTTGTGATGGTGGCACAACTTCCGAAGCTAGATTCTGGCATGAGAAAGGATTCTGGCAATCTTGTTAATGACACGGATACTTAAAACACATGTTCGGAGAAGCTGCCGGGCCTGAGGGAACAGTGGGCCTGTGGTGTGCGGGTGGTGGCCCGTGCCACAGCTTGTAAGTCCTCTTTCAGAAGCTGGGTTGCTGCTTGTGGTCAACCCTTTGGTCCTTTGGCACCAGTTTTGGCAGTTTTGGTAAGAGAAATGAAGGTTTCATTTCTCCCCTCAGTGAAGAGGGCAGAATAAGAGCCTTCCATGGTGTGTCCTTGTTCAAAAGGTATTTAGATTTTAAAATGAGTCTCTTTCATTTTAACTTGTACTTCAGTTGAATAAAAACAAAGCTCAGAAGTAGCTACATCACTATAAAAAATCATTACTGCTTCGATAACTGTACATTGTAATCCATGGTTTTCATTAGAATATGTTTTCTGAAAATCCTGGTAGCATGTTTTTATTCCACTGGGGAGTTGTGTTTTGAATCACATGGCCGTCAGTCAGTGTCTTGCCGTGTACACATAACCCAGAGAAGGCTTTTAGTGAATCCTGATTATTGAGCAACAACAGTTCTTTTCGACCCGAGGACAGTTCGGCCCTTAGGCCTGCGGGCCTGACAGGGCCGCCTGTGCATCAGCGGGCTTCAGAGGGAGCCTGGGCGCCAGCAGTCGCTGCTTCTCCCCGTGCCGGGGTCACTTTGAGCGGGTTGTTACCTCTGCAGATTGTTTCTTATCTATAAAAGGGGGATAAAAAAAACCCATCATTGGTTAACCCTGAAATAAGTCATTTCATTTAAATTATAGATTTAAAGTGTAGTTTAATTTCAATCATTAACAACATTTAAATCATTTATAGTTTTGTTAAAAATTTTTCACTTCTATAGTGGCTTGCAGGAATGAGTTATCTTGGACCATTTTTTTTTTTTTCTATTCTTTTTTTTTTTTTTTTAATTAAAAGCCTAACTCACAAACATCTCAGCCTCCATTAAAAGATGAAGACGAATATTCTCTCCTTTACATTCGTGTTTTGCTTTTTTACTTGAAATGCAGTATTGCAATTTGGATAACTACCTATATGATATTTGATGGGTGTTGTATTTCAACTTGAATCTGCTTCTTTGTGATAATCCTGTCTGTTTCATAATAACATAGTACACAAGTTTCTTTAATTCAATTTGAAAGCCCATTTCTGTCTCTGAAACACTTAGATAGGGCCTTTTAAAAATTCAAAGTGCCTAGAATGTTTGCAAACATTTATACATGATGCCTATTTGTTGAATTTCCAGCGTTTGGTCTCCAAGAGTGACTCTCAGGTGATTACTGTTACCCACAAAAGAGTTCCCAGTCCTAAAAAAATGTAAAACAAAATCTCGAATATAGCACATGGTCAGCATCTGAATTGGGAATTACTGATTAAGCGTGGCATTGCTAAGTGTGGTATAACCAAGACTGCCCTTGCTGTTTTACTTTTACCTAATGAGAAGTTGTAGCTCTGGATGATAGGATATTTAGCATAGGCTGAGGTTAGAACGTACTCATTAGAGCCACTAAGTAGAGGACCGAAATGGTGGCCTGGGAGGTACCTGTACACTGTTTGCGTTGGAGAGGACCCGAAGATGGTAAAAGACTTGAGGCCATTCTACTAACACAGCCAGAGGGGATGAGGACCTGATTGGGGGCTGGAAAGAGAGGACTTGAGGGCTACTTAGGCCTAGGATCTTGAGGACCCGGTGAGAAAGAGGGAGGAGGTGTGTCTGCCTGCCAGTTTCGGCCTGGTTGACTGTGGATGGCGGTGGTACAGCCAGCACGGAAGAGGAACAGGTTGGGGCTTCGTGAGGGAGATGAGGATTTCAAATTCGGCAGGCTGGAAGTGATTGTGAAGCCTCGGGGGAAGCTGATTAGTAAAGGAGAAAAACAGATTAGAACGCGAGAAAAATGTTGACTATCTGTGTAGATTAGAATCCTACAGCTGGTTCTCAGCCCTGTGGGTTTAAAGGAGATAGTAGAGCTTATAGCAGTGGTTTTTAGGTGGTGGGGGCTGTATGGACGGCCTAAGGACATTGGGAAATGCCTGTTTGTTGCCCTTGTGACTTGGGGGTTCTACTGACATTCGTAGGTGGGGGGGTCAGAGGTGGCAGACATCCTGCAGTTGCTGTGACAGTCCTACACAGGCATGAATTGTCCCACTGAAAGGCCAGCAGTCCCGTCCTTGAGATGCATGCCTGTGGGCTGGGGCTGAAGTGAAGTGAAGAGGCCAAGAGGAGCTGCAGTCTTTTCACAAAGCCTCTTGACCATGGAGGCTTTGCTCTCTTTCATGCCCAGTCACCCTATTTGGCAGGGCTGTGGGCTTGGCAACTGTTTTCTTTGTAACCCTCTTTAAAATTTGTATTTGGGGAGGTTGCTGGAATCCTACCGGTTCTGTTTGTCTCCATCTTCTTTTTTCATGGAATGATTAAGAGCTGGGTCTTTCGAGTTTAGGCAGGGTCAGTGTGCCTTCGGGGCAGCGCCAGGGCAGGGCCTTTGACCTCCCAGATCTAGACTTCCTTCCTTCCACCTTCACTGTGTTAACTTTCTTAAGATTCAAACCCATGGAATCGCCCTGGATTCATGATCTTTCTGTATTTTAAGGACCAAAGATGTCCTAAGAGCCTAAGCATCCCATGAAAAGGGGGTATTAGACATTTGGTTTAGAAATGAATGGGCTTAAATCATAACTAAACACCATACATAGGGTATGTTTTGTATATTTGTACATAGCCTTTGATTATTCTTTTTTGTGTTCTGCCTTCATATGTCTAAGTTCATTGAGAATAATTTATAGGTAATTGCATATTAGTAGAAAAAGACTTAGAAATAGGATTGATTTACATTCATTTGCAAGAGAATATGATCTAATTCCCATTGTTTTTAAATTTAAGATATATCAATGGTAAAAGACTGATACTATCAGGAAAGAAAATTGTCTTTTGTACAAGTCTGAATATTAAGCCCCCTTCTGTATTTGTTTGGAAACGTGTAAGGGTTTTTTTTGTATTGAATGGTTTTCTACAAATTGAAAACTGGATGAGCCTTTGTTTTGATGTTTTATAAAATAATATGTTTTTACCCTCAACTCCGAGTTTTCATTCTAAATATGTAGGTTATGCTATTTCAGTTAATTTTTTTCAATAGTAGAATGTACTATTATTTGTAACCTATAAAATCTGCTGCAAAAGAACTGTTCGAGATGCTTGTTTTTCTTTTTCCCATTTTAAAATTAAAACATTGGCATTTCTTTAGGAAGTAATGCAAAGCTAAGACTATGTTTGTCTGCAGCTTCTACAGAGTAAAATAAAATATCCATAACTGTGCTTTTTGTGTCCTGAGGAACTGAATTCCTCCCCTCCCCCACATCATGAGTAAGTAATGCCACGTTCTCCAGTTTCTGCTCAGTGTGGAAGAGTGGATTACAATAATGCTGCACATTCAGAATGAGTCTCACCCAACATTTGCTTCTCCAGAAGATTTCCCCCCTAATTTTAACCAGATTGTATTAAAATTGAAATAGCACAGGATACTAAATACTACTTTAAATGCCAATGCTTTAATATCATTTTATGAAATGCTCTCATATTACAAAAAATAATGATATGGTAAACCTGCATTGTGAAGTGTTTTCTACTTGATAAATAAAATTCTAAATTTTAATGCTTTAATACTAAACCTTCAAAAGTTTTACAGTACTGATATTTGCATTTTATCCTTCCTAATTCTTAAAGCAAAATTTTAAAAGGAAAACCTATTAAATTTATCTAGTCCAGAGACTATGGATTTGTTTACATTGTAGGAACCTGTTTAATTTTTTGTCCTGAAGTAAGAGCTGTTGCCACTGTTTTTCATTAGTAAATACTCTTTCCTTACTCAATATACAATATAAGTCACCGCAGAATCTTTGGTAAATGAAGCAATTGCCCTATTTCCCTTAATATAACAAAGAAGCTTTATTTTTTCTAAAACCAAACTTCTTCAGCTGACAGTTGAAAGACAGTGACTTTCCAAAGCTCCTTTTTATGACATTCTCTGACTTTTTCTCTTTCCTGAGCTGAGCGGACAAAGACATTCATGTGAAGT